AATGCCCACGCTCTCCTCTTCCTGCCTCCAACGTCAAACCAATTCCTGAGCGTCCCTCGCGCCAGGTCCCTCCAGGCGTAGACGACGTAGTTTTCCCCGAATTCCTGACAGGTCTCCAGCAAGGCCCCTTCCAAGAGCGGCAAGCGCGACTCGTCCACCGCCGGGAGCAAGTGATGCAAGCGGTGGTGGTTGTAGGGAAAGAGGACAAGCTTTGCCAGGAGAGGAAGGTGGGAGATGGCGTAGTCCTGGGTGGCTCGGAGGGCGTGGAGGCCGAAGTCGACGGGGCGCGGTAAGGGGGCCTTCCCGTCCCTCCAGGCGTGCTCCGAGTGGTGGAGGGGCAGAGCTTGGAGCCCCAGCAACACAGAGGCGACCACGTGCATCGTCAGCCAGCGCCACCAGCCCGCCCATGCACCGCTGCGCCCGAAGAGCATGAGCAATACCAGCTCTGCCCCCGGGAGGAGGTGCTCGGGCCGCCAGGGCTGGATGCGGCGGAGAACTATGTTGATCAGGCGCGCGAGAAGTTCGAACGGGCCCAGGATACAGAGCACGCTCCAGAAATAGAAGGGCAGGTAGGCGTTATTGGCGGGGCCGGCGTAGAGGCTGTAGATGAAGGGCTCGATGGCGGCGACCTCGAAGTCCGCCTGAGTGCCCGGGTAGTGGTGGTGGGAGAGGCAGTGGGAGATAGTCCACTCGTGGCTGGAGAAGAGGGAGAGGTCGAGCAGCCACCGCCACCAGGTGGGCGCCGTGTGCATCCCATTGTGGCCTATTCCGGCCAAGGCGTTGAGGAGGATGCCGGCAACGACAGCGGGCACAGACCCGGACCTCGCCGAGCAGCACCAGACCAAGGCAGACAGCCACGCAAGCAAGAGAGCCCATGTCAGCGCGCGCATCTCCATGGTAGGACCTCGTGCACCGCGTTTGCTCTTGTTCTTGCTATTTTCCTCCGCGGTACGCAAGGCGCCGAGTGCCCGCCTCTTGAAAGACCTGTAGAAGCCCGAGTCGAGGAAGGAGAAGTCGGCCTCTACAGGCGAGGACCCGTCTGCACCCTTGTTAGATTGAGGGGCCACAGAGGCTTCGGGTGAAAGAAGGGGCTGTCGAAGCGCAGAGGCAGGCGGTGGGGTGTTGGGGCAGTCTCGGACGTAGAACTGTCCGAGGACTGCTCGCGTCTTGGCGTCGTCTACATGGTGGCTCTCAAAGAGCGGGGTCACGTCCATGCCCTGGGTGAGTTCCAACCAGTGCCGGCCACCGGGATGAGAGGCGAGGTAGGGCGCTAAGTCGTAGACTTTGCCATGCACGACCCATTCGTGAGCCGAGTGCCCGAATCGCTCGCGCTGCGCCTCCCCCATCTCCTTCATCCAGGCACGCCGGCAAGAGAACAAAGCATTTCGAGACGGCAATGCGCGGTCCATTTGGTATAGCGGGATTTTGCAGAGCTAGCAGTCCTGGCGAAAAATATGCCTTTGGTTTGACGTTCCCACTGCTGCACGGCTGTATGCGCAGGTCCTTGTTGACGTGTGAGGGCAAGTGAGAGGAATCTGTTGGCTGTTTTCCACCCTCCAGGCCAGGTCGCCCACTTGGACCACCAAAATATCTACGACGAGAAGAGCATGAATAAGTCCAAGTGCTGAGAAGGACATATGACATTGGCGGTGGGCAATGCTCGTCGCTTCCACTCAGCCTTCAATACCACCCCTTCCGGTCTTTTTCTTGCTTTTTCATGTTCCAGTCGCCGCCAGTCGGCCCACGTGACTGCCCGTGTAACCCCCGCTTTCCACGCGAACCCTGCGTCAGCGTCTCCTGGTCACGTTTCATGCGCCTCTCGCACGCATTTCCGCGTCCACAGGTCTACATCACAAACTATCGGTCGTCTAGCGATCGTGTATTTCGCAGGTTCCGCAACATGGCGCCACCTTGCGCGGGCCTCCTTTTCTCGTCAGCGGCACGTCGAAGCATATATGGCCTCCGGAATGCTGTTGTCACGGCTTTTTTCGATACCCGCACCCTGTCATCGTCCGCACACAGCAAGCCTCCACCCTCTCCAGAGCTTACTCCGGCGCAGGTATTTTTGGAGGGGATTGTTCGCGGACACCAGTAGCTTTGATCCCAAGACTGGATGAAGAAGCCAGACCTCAAAAATAGTGTGGTGTATGTTGACACAACATCGGATAAATGATGTCTACACCTCATATTTCATCTTTTCGGGGATGCTGCGGTCAAAGACCTCACAAACGAGCATGCACACAACAACCTGCAAACAGTCGCCTGATGGATCTAATTCAATTCGTCTGAGCAGCGACAGCTCACGCTCTCCATATCACACACCCTACAGGTCCGTCGCATAGGAGAACGCACCAAAGCCCAACTTGACGATCATCTGCGCCTTAAAACACAGGTCCCCGAGTCCAGCCTCGACCCGACTGCCCCTCCCGGTCCCGTCGACACGGATCTCATCCGCCGAAAGCGCCTTCTGTACCGGAGCAAGCAACGGGGATGGCTGGAAGTGGACCTGCTCCTCGGAAGTTGGGCGGCTGAGAACGTGATGAGTCTGAGCGGGCCGGAACTCGATGAATACGAGAAAATCTTGAACATGGAAACCATCGACATATTCAACTTGGTCAATGGGGCGCTGGCCCCCCCCCCCGCCTTGAAGGGGTCAAAAATTCTGTCTCGGTTGCAGGAGTATGCGAATTCTTCCCCATTCGGGAACGCATCAACGCGAACATACGAGGCTGTGAAGGACCGAACAGGCTTGATCTAAGACCTTCCATCCTGCACCAGAACGCTCATTTCGCAAGGCCCCTCGCTTGGGGTAACGAGAGCATGCGAAAAGAAAATAGCGAGTAATACTGAGCTAGAAATATGTTGTTTTCATTTTCTTTAAGATGCTCCTCTGCGCCAATCGGTCTGTGAACATGCCCCCCCCCTTCACCCATAAATCATCACCTTGCTAGCTCGGCGGGAGTGCGCGACGGAGAGAATATGAGCAGTGAGGACCAAAAAGCCGCTGAGGCCCAGGACAGCACGAACAGCATGCAGTTGGCCCCACAGCCGGAGAAGGTGCTTGGTGGATGGCAGACCTGAGCAGGACCAAGAGCCCAGGCAGAAGGTGACGCGTCTAGAAACAGGGTCGGCCTCCTCTACCTCTTCCTCCTCCACTTTTGTCTCTTCTTCGCGATCCGACGTCCCGCGGGTCTCTTGTTCCAACTCTGCCATCTCCGCACGCTTTCCAAGCTCTTTGTTGATCGGCATGAGGCAGAGGAGAGTGAAAGGCACGTTCATGGCCACGAGCCCCCCACCCCATGCCCAGGCCGCAGCCTCCTTGAGCACAAAAGTGTTGCACATACCACCGACACCGGCCACAAGCGCATAAAAGACTTGAAGTGGAGCGGCCCGTTGATATGATTCGCGCCATTGCAAAACTGCGCTCTTGATGGCACTTTTTTTGATTGCCTTCCCTTTAGATTTCGGAACATCCAAACTGGATGCAGCAAGGGTTTTACGAGCAGGGTGCTCCACCAGAGAGATGTACAGAGCGGCGCCAGCAAAGAGGGCGGAGCTTGCGAAGGTAGCTGCTTCTAGTATGAAGCGCCCTCCTGCATCGCGGTCTTTGAATGTCGGCCAACGCATGCAAGAACCTGGCTTAGGAGAGAGAGGTAAGTGGAAGGTTGAAGCTCAGCCCTCCATTGATCCTGACAATGCGTGCACATGTCCTCACGTAATCTTATAATACAAAGAGTGTTCTGACTGCCCCTGCATGCAGGCCAAGGGAAACAGAACAGCGCTGGGAAGGTCAACACGGGCAGCAGGAACAGGCTTGAGCGATGACGTACCCCTTTAGCCGGAGAGGACTGCTCGGATTCAGCGACCAGGCCCTCGACGTGCTTAGTCTTCACTCGTATGTATTCACTCGTATTGCTCCCCTGCCTGGCCCAACGCGTCAGGGGCGCGTGTGTGTTCGTGGTGAGATGTAAGGAGATCAGTCCATTCCAACAGGTCCCTTCCGTATTCCGGCCCTGGACTGCTTTTCACCTCAGGGTTTCATTTCCTTTTCCTCACAGCCTCCTGCCCCCACTGAGGCCACAATGGTGAAGCTGAATCGCATGGTGTTAACTCAAGGATTTGGCTTCATTCTTCTGCCAGTACTTGCGGTTGCTCTGACAAAAATATATGGCGCGAGCCCTGAGGAGACAGAGAAACAGCTCGTAAGTGCAGAGATGGCAGGCAAGCGGAGGTGTGTGACGCGCTTATCCACACCACGATGGAAGACGATAGCTGCGATAGTTTTACTTTAGCTGGCTGCCTGCCATGGAAGTGTCTCTGTGTAGCCGCCAGCTCAATCGCGGCTCGACATCACGTAGGCTTCTCTGACCAAACAACGATGCATGGCTGATGCCTGCGCGCTTCCCCACCCCGCAGGAGCGGATGGCCGTGGAGGAGCAACACAGGAGCCGGAGCGCGGGGAAAGGCGGGGATTCAGACGTGCAGGTCATGCATGATTTCATTCGGAAGCAGGCTGTCAACCAACAAGCCGACTATAGCGTGAGTAAGGGCAGGAGGGGGAGACACCGCTTTTGCCTCGTCCTAGGCGAGGCGGAGATCTTCGTGACCGAGTCATTTTTCCAGTCGCTTCCTCTGCCGATGAGCCTCTGAGTCCCTCTGCTTTCTTACCGTATTTCTGTGTCAATCGCCCGCTTTCCGCACCCATCCCAGGCCATCTTGCAATCGGGGCGGGGGAAAGTGAAGAGACAGAGGGACATCGAGCCCTCGGCGTGAGGAGGGCGCCGACCAAGTGGCGGGGAACGAGGACGGGAGGTAGTGAGACGGGCGCTAATTTAAAAAAAAAGATTGTACATGGTGTCAAGGGGAATCAAAAGCTGGGAGGGCCGTACACGCGGGCTTCTCGCGGTCTCTCTTGACTTTCTTACACGCCTGCTTCCCGCCTCACTTCTCTCTCGCTGACTAGCTGGTCGCCTGAGTCAGCTCCTGCTCGCCTCCCCCCCCCCCTTCATCGATTCCATTCCGCCTTTCACGCTCCCTTTCCTCCCTCTCCCTCCTCTCCCGCTCCTCCTCCTCGTCCCGCCTCCGGTCCTCCTCCTCGTCCTCCCTCCGCGCCTGTGCCAGACACGAATGCGCTCGCAGCCGCTCCAACGTCCACCTGGCTCCCGGGTCTTTCAAGAACAAACCCTCCAGCATCTCATGCAGCTCGGGCTCAACGCTTTGGCCGCCCCTGGCCTCCCCCTCTCCATTCTCCCCTCCCGCGGCCCCTCCCTCGCCGTCTTCCTCCACGGGGGGGATCTGAACTTCCTCTTCCTGGATGGCCGCGAAGAGGGGGGCGAGCCCAGCCTTCTGGAAGGGCAGGCGCCCGAAGAGGAAGCAGTACAGGCAAAGACCCGCCGCCCACACGTCCACCGGCCAGGGGAAGAAGCCCTCGCCCGAGCAGCACTCGGGCGCGAGGAAATTGTAGGTGCCGGAGGTGTCGAAGAGCTTCCCCCGGTCCCCGGCCCCCCCCTCCCCTCCCTCTCCTGTGTCCTTGATCCGCTGGGCACATCCGAAATCCGTTATCCGCAGCTTGGTCCCGTCTGTGAGGAGCAGATTTTCAGGCTGGGGGGTGCACGAGGGGGGAGGGAGGGGGGGAAGAAGGGAGGGAGGGAAGGGGCTTAGAATGTCCCGCAGGGCGGGCGAAAGGGAAAGGAGGGGAAATTGGAGGGAGAGAGGGCTGGGTCTGTAGCGGACCTTAATGTCGCGGTGGCAGATGCCTTTGCCGTGCAGATACTGGAGGCCGGCGACAAGGCCGAAGAAGAGCTTGCAGGCGGTGGGGGGTGGGAGGACACCGCCCGTGAGGGGGCTCCGGAAGCGCTTGGTCTTCTTGTCGTAGTCCATGGAGATCCCGCCCTCCAGGTACTGAGGCGCGGGGAGGAGGGAAACGGGGGATGAGGGGATCGGCGTGAGAGCTTCAGGGGCAGAAAAAGAGGAGGGAGGGGAGTGTTTGAAAAGGGAGGAGAGGCGGGGGCCTCCCGTACCTCCATGATCATGAAGATGCTGTCCTCCGAGGGGTCGTTGATGACCTCGAACAGTAACACCACATTCCGGTGGTACAGATGCCGCATGATTCGGATCTCGTTGCGCATCTGGCGGGGCAAGCACGTATGACGGTGGAGGGAAGAGTCAGCATCTCCCTCTAGGGAAGCGCGAGTTGCACCAGTCGCTCGCCTCTTTCTTTGACATTCTTCACTCACCATGTCTATCCCGGTCTTCACCTCCATGTGGCTTCCCCCCACCGACATCACGCTGGATTTGAAGCGCCGGAGTCGATGACGGCTCATGATCTTGATGGCATAGGTCTGGTAAGGGGGCGGACCTACTTCCCTTCGGGCACGTTTCACATTCCCAAAGGCGCCTGCGCCCAAGAAGCCGTCGACGGCGTATTCGTTCACCTTGATCGGGTCCGCCTCTGCTTGCCCCGGTGGATAAGTAAGAGCCGCCAGGTCCGTCATGTGGCAGTCCCAATCGTGCTCCTCCCCGTCCTCCTCCTCGTCCGTCTCACAGACATTTTCACCATCCACGTGCACCAAACCATCGGCATCCGCATGGGGACTGGCGGAGGTAGAATCATGGTGGTGGCCATTGCCGTTTCCTTCCCCCCCTGCGACTGCAGCCCCCAACTCCTCCTCGCTGCCCACATCGATGATGCGTAGCGGAGGCCCAAGCGAGATATGAAGGAAGCCAATGTCCAAAGTGAGGAACGCAAGATCATGCAAATCACGTTACACCGAATTTGTCTCACCTGAGGACTGAGAAACTGTGCTCCACTGCCCTCCCGGCCGTGTCCGTGGGAGGGACGGGCGGGCCCTCCGCTTGCGCCGACTGAGTGGCCGAATAAGCCGGAGGGGGGGGGCAAGGGGGCTCAAAGGACGGCGGTAAACAGCAGCAGAAGACCATACTATCCAACAGTCCTCGCCTGTGCCTGGCGCGGGTTCGGGGAGAGGAGATCCTATTAGCACTGAGAGCAAGATGAGCGAGAGGGGGGCCTCGCTCACACGCTTGCCAGTCCCGTTTCTTCGACCATATAAACGGGAAGGGGCAGCTCGTTTCAGACGTGCTCTACGGCAGATATACAAGCACGTGTACATGGCTTTAAACTATCTCTTTAATTACGACGATTCATGTACAGGAAGGCCGGTATTGTTTTCTGTGCTGTCGCATTTGCTGCGGTAAAGGTCCATTGGAGCTTCCTCCTCTCTGAGGAAGCACACAGGAAATCGGGAGCCGGAGTGTTGCGCTTCAAGATGATTGTAGAGGAGAATACCCTTGAGCAGCGGCGTGCGGGGTGAGCTATGATCGACGGTGGGCGGAGAATGCGAGGAAAAGCCATGTATGGGGAGGAGGTGTATCGAATTTCACATCCTCTCTCTTTCGTCCCAAATCAACAACCAGACTCAAGGCGGAGCTGCAGAACATTGAACGACAAATTTTCGACTTGGAGGGGAGTTATTTGGACGACACATTGACGACAGGCAATATCCTGCGGGGCTGGGATGCGGCGTTGACGAATGGGAGCACGAGGTAAGAAGAGGGTGGGATGGAGGGGCGGATTAAATTCTGGCAAGCCTGACGAATGGAAAGACCGGGGCACGTTTGATGCACACAGTCCTTTGTACGAGCTTGACCAACCATGTCACTCATGTTCATTTCCGTTTTGGGAAAACGTTCCAGTGCGGCCTCTGCTGTCAAGGGAAAACAACGCGCGAGAAAGCTCCAACGAGAGGTAATGCCACACCGGGAGGCCGGAGACGACGCCAGTTCCAGGCAATTTTAACGAATTGTAACCCACGCCTGCACAGGACCGCTTGTTCTCTCTCTCCTCCGTCACGTCACCGCCAATGGTGACTGTGAGGAGAGCCGTGACCGAGGAGGGAGATGAGGAGGAAGGTGATCAGGAGGAGAAAGAAGAGGAGGAGGAGGAAGAGGAAGAGGAAGAAGAGGGGGAAGAAGAGGAAGAGGGCCAGGAAGAGGAGGAGGAGGAAGAGGAGGAGGAAGAAGGGGAAGAAGAGGAGGAGGAGGGGGAAGGGAAGAAGAAGAAGAAGAAGAAGAGGAGGAGGAGGAGGAGGAGGAGGAGGAGGAGGAAGTGAGCCCAAAGCAGCGTAAAAGGCCGTCGACAACTTCGAGCAGGCGGAGCGCGAAGACAGGGGTCAGAGGCCGAGGCAGTGGTAGGGGCGGGGGCAGGCGACCACCTGGAGGGAGGGCTCAGAAGCGGTCGAGGCGACCCGCCAAGAGAAGCCCCAGCCCGAAGAAGAAAGCAGCGAGGCGCCGCCGGTGATAGGGCCTAGATGGGTGCAAGCCTGGAGTGCTGCGTGCCCCTGTGGCCAGGCGTTTCTATACATTGATTAAAACGCAAAGCAAATAAGTAAAAGGAATGTGTACGAAGAGAAGCTCTTCCTGGTTCCTGCATGCTAACTTTGAAATCTCCTAGCCCAGGCGACAGGCCGATTACCCCCCCCTTCCCTAGAGTCCCCGTGCACCCTTGCCAAGGACAATAAGAAAACTTTTCGCCTATGCTGCCGAGGGCGGGGCGCGCGGATCCTCCACCCCCGCCCCCTGCCAGAAGGCCACCACCACCAGGACCACGGCCAGGGCCGCGTACCGGAGGTAGAAGCTGGGGATGCCGTGGAACTTGACGCCGCGCATGGCAGTGGGGAGGATCATGCTGATGGCGCAGGCGAGCATCACCACGGAGGTGACCCAGAGGCCTGCGTGCCGGAAATTCCTTCGCGCCCAATTGATGAAGGTGACGACCATGCTGGCGAGGAGCAGGACCAGGGTCATGTACAGAGGCCAGGTCGGGCAGCCCTCCACGCTGAACTGACGCCGGCCCGACCGGCTGCAGACGACCCGGGACATCTCGGCGAGCCCAGAGCCGATGTACACCACGAAGGGGACGAAGGCCGTGGCGAAGCTGAGCTGGACGGATCGGAACGCCTGCGCATGCCGAAAGGCGCGTAGGGGAGGAGAAGATGAGTCATGGGGAGGCAAGGATGTGGGGGGGAGGGGCCAGCACTCACCGGGTCAGGAGGGGTTCGCTTCCAATTGAGGGCCGCGGCCGTGGGCAAGGCGGCGGTAAAGTAGTAGGGGAGGAAGAAGAAGAGCACTTCAATGCCATGCGTGTAGAAAGGCGTCCTCCACAGGTACGAGTACAGGACCGCGCACAGGAGCAGGAGCTCGATGCCCATAGCCTGTGTACGAGTGGGACATGGGGCCGCGAGGCTTAGAATGTAAATCGCTTTGGTGCTGAGACGTCTGGCAGACTCGCACCCGAAGGCAGGCCCCGCTGGCTTCCTCGCCTCGCCTACGTACCATGAAGAATCCCTGCCACAGGTCCTCCATCACGAAGAGCCGGTGCATCCGGGTCGTGTAACGGGCTTTAAGCAGGCCCAGCGGGTCCCGGACGAGCACTTCCGTGGCGCTCAAGTGGATGTCAAACACCTCCTCCACGCGGCCCGTCAGGCGCGGTGTCTCGTGGAAGCACAAGGAGAGGGTCTCGTCGATCTCGTTCACGTACACGGAACGGAAACCTCGGTGGAAGAGCTCCACGGAGGTTGGCAGCCACTCGCATCGCTGTGAGTTGACCGAGGGGGTAGGAGGGGGGGAGTTTCGGCAAGTGAGAGGGCGTCTGGGAGTGAGGACATGGAGGTCCGAGCCCGGATCCGTCCCCCTTCACTCGAGAATCGTGTACCGTCAGGGTGGAGAAACCCAGGCCTTTCCCCAGCAGTTGCGTCGGATCCTCCTCCGAGACGACGCTCCGCCCGCGGACGTTTTTGCCGCTCTTCAAGACGTCGATACGATACATGCAGCCGTTGCTCTTGGCCATGGCTCCTCCCACACCGTCCCGCCCAATGTTTATGATATCCTGCAGGATCAGGTCCCGGTTGGACAAGGGATCCGTATCAAACTTGTCGGCTATGGGAGGTGTGTGTGCGTGTGGTGTGGGTGTGAAGAGGGCGGGTAAGGTTCCTCGCGATGCAATCAGAACAAGCGGGGAGAATGGCTGCGCTTACCTTTCTTGACACGAAGAGCGACCTGCACGAACGCCACATCTTGGCATTCCTCGTACTCAACGGTGCCCATTCTGTACGAATGCACGGGTAAAGTCGATAAAAAAATCTTATGTAAAGGCAAATGGCACGAGCATCGAAGAATGGGTTGGAAGGTTGCTGCTTCACGTACTCTGTGTCGGCGACGGGACGGAAGAAGTACGGCATGGTGCGCTGAAGGAACTCGGTCTGAAGCGCGTGACGAGGATCATTGACTACCATGTAGCGGGCCATGCCCAGAATGTTGGCATCGGCGGGGTCCTCCGGGAAGAGAAGACTGTTGAGCATCCCCGCCACCGGGCAGGAGGCAGGAAACTCTGCATGTGGTTGGGAAGGAAGGGCTTATCGGATCAATGTTCACATTCGTTCCTCCTTTCATAAGGTAATGTCTGGATAGAATATTATACTCAAAC